GAGCAGCCACTGGTGGCATGGCCATGTCAGCCACCACGCCGATGGCCACCCCGCCGGCCAGGCTACCATTCTGCAGGTGGCCAAGGCTGATCTTGCCATCCCTCTCCAGCAGGCTGGAGACCACTACGGTGGTTACAGCGCTGGCACTCATGGCCAGGAGGGTGTTCAGGATGGCACGGTGCTGGGCATCACCTGGTTGGCAGAGGACAGCCACAAAGCTGGGCCAGAAAACCCAGAGGATGAGCATCCCCACCAGGGACATGAGGTCAGAGCGGGGTGTTGGGGTCTCCTTGGGATGCAGCGGTGGCTGTGCTGCCCTGAACAGACCCTTGGACACACCGAGGCCGAAATAGCAGGAGAAGACGTGGATCGTGATGGTGCCTCCCACATCCAGGACGCCCAGACAGGTGACAATGACCCACTCACTGGCGAGGTAGACAGAGATTTCACAGGTGGCCATGACAAGCATCTGGCAGGGGCTGATCCTCCCCAGGATGGCTCCCACAGAGATGAGCACCGTCACAGCGGCGAACTCAGAGACAAGGAGGTTACGGAGGTCCAGGTGGACTTGGCCATGGTGGAAGTGATGGAGTAAGCCCTGCAGCACCAGTGCCCATTGCATGGAGAAGTTGAGCAGGAGGAAGTTGTGGGTGAGGGCGCTGAATCCGTAGCGGGGCAGAAAGGTCAGCAGGAGCCCCAGTCCCACCACCAGCATCACCTGTATGTCCTGGAGGAAGGGGAAGATGCTGTAGACCTGGTTGGCCACCAAGTTGGCATCCTCTGCCTGTGCCAAGGACTCATCGTAGGTGACGAAGAGGGTGAAGAAGAGGAGCAGGGCACCCTGGAAAAGCCCCAGGAAGAGGGGCAGGAGGCGACGGGGACGGGTGAAGGGTGGTGTGGTCATCCCAGAGTGGACAGGAGGGGATGGTGACCGGCAGGTTGCTGGCGTGGGGTGACAGCCTGACAGGACTCACAGCGTGAGCTTCAGTCCTACTTCGGGAATTTTATGGCCATGGTTAATTTTTAACCAAAGATCTAAGTTTATGTGCAAGAAGAGGAGGGTTTTCCCCCTCCCTTCTTTAAACACAACACCCATAAATTAGCCACATGCTCTCATTTGACCACCATAAAAGTGGACATTGAAGGGGGTTATGGTTTTGAAGGGGAACAAGACAAAAACTACCATGGGGCAGAGGAGGGAGAAGGATGGTTGGTGAGGAGCTGGCCAGGGATGGAGGTACCATGGCACTTACCCCTGTTTAACCTGTCCCCATTCAGGAGTGGAGACCTCACTGTGGAAACCCTGGAGTGATGCTGGCAGCTCAGGCACTGCCAGCTCCTGCTCTGGCTCTGCCACATCACACTCCAGGATGGCTCTGGCATTGCCACCACCTCATTCTGTGGGATGATGCCCATTTTCCTCAGCAACAACCTAGAGTTTGTGAAGCACCATAAAGCTCTGAAATCAGGGCTGAAAAGATCTTTTTCTCACAGGTTTGCATTGGCTTAAATGGCTGGAAATTCATTAACAATTAGTGCGCGAGAAAAACAAAGCCCAGAGCAGCCAAGCAGCTACCCCAAAGTTTCTGGGTTGCTGCTTAGTGTGACATTTTGCCAGTGAATGTCTGGAAAAAAAATTTGAAAAAAAAAATATATGAGAACCACAAGAACAAAAGGCAGAAGAGTTGGTAAATATTTGTTCCAGAGAGGAGATATTTTTGTGCTGTCCCTGATCTCAACACCCCTGCCGCGGGCGCTGGCTCCGCGCCGCTCTTCGTCATTGTTACTGGAGGATGAGGCAGGCGAGGGCGCAAAATGGGAAACAATTGTTGAATAATCTGCGCGAGGCTTCTCTGCCAAACACTCCCCGGCCATTTTTCAACCCAAAGATGCTGGAAATGGGGGCAACATATAGGAGGAGGAGGAGGTGCTTTGAAGGCAGTGCCTTTGAGGGGTGAGGAGGGGTTGTGTTGTGCCCAAGCCATGGCCAACAGCAATAGAGCGGTGGTGGGAATGGTGAGGGTTTGGGGATAGGAGCCGGGATGTTTTGTCTGCCCTAACACGTCCCTAACATGTCCCTGCTGCACAGCTGGGGATGCTAACAGCAGTGGATGCTCCTGTGGGGATCACCCGAGGAAATGTGTGCCTGAGGTCCCCATGGTGCTGTTTGGCTCTCTTTGGTGTCCCCAGGCTGGCTGAGGATGGGATGGGATGGGTTGGGATGGGATGGGATGGGATCAGTGGGTAGGATGTTCACGTTTCTCCTACCTCTGCCCTCACAGTGGCACTGCCTGACCCACCTCCCACAGCTGCTGCTGGCTCCTACCTCTACCAGGCAGTGGGGATGAGGGACAAAGACATGAAGGCGAAGACTTCCCCACAGCTTTCTGGTGTAATAAAGGCAAGGAAAGGGGATTTCAGCCCTCACCCCTCACCTGTGAGTCTTGGCATGCCACACCAGCCCGTCAGGGGCATTTTCAAGGGGACAGCCTGATGTAATGAAACCCCTTTAGCTGATGGCAGGTGAGATACAACTCCAGGAAGATGCTTGGACCAGGTCTTGATCCTGAGACAGAGGAGCTGGGCTGCTCGTACAGAGCTGAGGAAGCATTTTGGCTCTGGCTCAGCAAGGGCTGGGCTCCCCACGGTGTGCCAGAGAGCAGGGTGCTCACTGGTGTGCTGAGTGCTGCCTGCTTGCTCCCCTCCTGCTGACCACAGCATCTCAGCCTGTCCCTTCCTGCTCTGGGTCAGGGCTTTTTAAAGGTGAGGTTAAATAAAATGCTAAAAGAAAAAGCTACAGGGCAGGTCTTTTAAAAAGCAGACTGCCTGAAAGCCTTCAAGTTTATGGCACAGTGCCTCCTGTGAGAAGGAGGAAGATGCTAGTGGGATGCATCCTCCTGCAGCATCCCAGTGCTGCCAAACCTGCTGGAAAGGACAAGCAACACAACACACTCCTTTGATGAGCTGTTTGGTACCACCATCCCCTTCCCTTGGGAAAAGAACATCCTGTGAGACTCTCCACTTCACAAACCAGCTGAGGTGCAAAGAGCAATGATGCCCAAGCACTCCTTGGTCCAAAGACCCCACATCAGAGAGGGGGAAACCCTGCTGGGGCACAGATTAAAAAATAACTTTTATGGCACCCATAAAAGAAGGCTGAAATTCCAAGAGGTCACTGGGAAGGTGAAAGTCCCCCTGGCCCTGGAGCACCCCTGAAGGCAGCGAATGATTAACCCCGTGGTGCAGGGTGTGCCGTGGGATGCCACGGTCCCCGTGGGGAGAAGGTCCAGTCCCTCTGGTAACATTTTCCAGGCATGGCAAGTTTTCTTTCGGCACTGAAGGAGAAGGGATGGAGGAAGCATCTGGCAAGGGCCTGGGCAGTGGGGAGGGAAGGGAGCATTGAATTCCACCCCCCACATCCCCCTTTCACTGGGGGGGCAGTTGTTTTATGGCAGGAGGACTGGGGAACCATTTTAGCAGGATCCACGCTGGGACTGCTGGAGGAGTTTCCCGCTGAGGGTTGGATACAAAGAAAAGCTGAATTAACCGAGGGTCATATAAGGCAACAGGATCTGACAGATCCGAGCCAATATATGCTGGCAGCAGCCAGTCCATGGCACTGTGAGAAACACTCCTGCAAATTTAACAAATCCCCACGGTCTAGAAAGTCATGTACAAGAAATTACTAATGAAGGGATCTAGTCCTATCTGGATTTTCAGACGTTGGTCATGCTCTCACCGCGTTCTGCAGGCCATATAAGTACATGGATCTGAATCCCGGGTGCTGGAGACCGGCAGGATTGTTCCGATCGTCTTGTCTGACCTTCTGCGTCAGATGAGAGCTCCCGGCGAGCAGGGGATGCCGGGCGGCAGCGGCCGGATCCCACAGCTGTGCCGGGCTGGGGAGGGATGGAGAAGCCTGGAGGGAATGTCTCTGTGGCAATGGGGTGGCTGTGTGCTCCCATCCCGTGGTGAGGCACTGGCACCCAGATGGATGTTGGCGACCCACTGCTGGGCAGGAGGGAGCAGGAGCTCCAGCATCATCCCTGCAGGGCAGCACCATGGATGGGTAGGGACTGCGGACAGAACTCCCTTGGCATCACTCTTCATCCCACTGCCCCCTCCAGCACAGAGCACCCCAAAATTCCCCATTCCCTAAAGATCCTGTCAGCAAGCCATGGAGCTCCAGCTCTGCCTCTATCCCCTCTGCAGGTCCTACACAACCACCCGCCTGGTGCCTAAGCAAACCGGGAGCAAGCACTGGGAGTGTTTTAAGAGCTCCAATCCAGCTGTGACCCCGTGAGCCCCAGTGCCTGCTGTCAGGCAGTGGGCAGGGGGCCAGCCCCCCCCTCCCCAGCCCCTTGCAGCCAGGTCCTCCCGGGGGGCACATAAAGCCCAACAGACGTCACCCCAGCATCACGCGGTCCGAGTGGCCTTCTCCATCTTGTTAGCACATTGTGTAACACAACATGTGGAGGCACTGGGACCGCACACGCATGCACTCCCCAACAGCCCAACCGGGGGGGGGAAAGAGGGAGTAAAAAAATAAAAAGAAAAGCCCAAGAAAAAGAAAAAAAAAGGAAGCAATTTAAGCTTTGAATCTTTCTCTTTAAAATGTTCTCATGGCTTCATTAGAATTTGCAGCCACAGAGGCTTTGAAGAGCATGGTATAAGGAGTGAAACATCTGGAAAAATTAGGATTAATGAAAACATAATTCCCAAGACTAAAGGAAAGATTAATCCTGCGTTACCACTTGTGTGTTCCACAGCTTTTCCCCAGCTCGTAACACTGAACTTATTAAATCGCCCTGAGCTGAGTTTTCCTTTTCTCTCTCCCTCCCCTATGGAGCCCAATGGAAGCAGCTGATGCCAAATGTAAGGATAACCAACTGTGCTGGGAGGCTGGTGTGAGCATGCCCAGCCCTGGGCCCAGGTGGGCACCCACAGCCACTGGACCAGTGGGTGAGGGGTCACAGGTGGGGGTGGGGGTCCTATGGGTGCTGGGGAGGTCTGTGCTGTGGTGATGGGTGCTGCATCACTGTGGGGCTGCACCTGCTCCTGCCCAAGGTCCTGAGCAGGACAGGGCCTGACCAGCTCTTGGGATGGACAGATTAATGAACCTCCTGCTCTGCTGTGAGATGCTTGGCCAGGGTGAGACTGAAGTGGCCCTGAGATGCTGTGTCTCTGGGCAGTATTTCTGTGAGTGTGAGGGTAGACACATGGTGATGTGCCATGCCATGCCATACCATGCCATGCTGTACCATATCATTCCGTACTGTGCCGTGCTGTGCCATACCATGTTGTGCCACGCCACATGCTGTGACTGAGCTGTCACCACCCCCTGCCTCAGGATCTGGGTTGTCAGCAGGGTGCTGGGCCATGTCAGCCCCATGCCAACTTGCAGCACTGGGCTCTGGGACTGTGTCATGCTGCAGTGCCGGAGGGTACTGAGGGGGTCACATTGTCCGCGCCAACCTCCAGACCCCTGGGCAGTGCTGGCCTGGGGTCTTGGGCTGCTCCAAGTGAGCTCAGCCATACTGGGAGACACTCTGGGGAATCTGCTCCTCAGTGACAGACCCTTTATTCCTGTAAAATCCTGCAGCAATTCCTGTTTGGGGCAGTGATGCCACCAGCAAGTACCACTGGTGGGTGCCAGCCCTGGTTTGGGGGGGGTCACACCAGATGTTTGTCCCTGCAGCTTCATCACTGCAGATGCTAATTTGCACAAACAAATGGGGCTGGGGTCAGAGGGTGCCTCTCCCCGTGGTAGAGTGGTGCTTCTTGGGAAGAACGAAAGCAGGGAGAGCTCACTCCACTGCATCTTCATCCATCCCATGCTGGGCACAGGGAGTCTGGGCAGTGCCAGCTCCACGCTGGCATTGGAATGTGCTGCCCAGGGAGGTG